CCTCTCTCTCTCTCTCTCTCTCTCCCTCTCCCCCTCACCGTATCGCGCATTTTTCGAAAAATTCTTAGTTGTTACGAAATATTCTTAGTTGTTACGAAATATCACGGAGAAACGGCAAAGGACGAAAACGAAACATCTGTAAAAAAAAAAAAGGGAAGAAAAAAAATTGATAAATACATGAAAAAGAGATAAAGTGTCTAAAAAAAAAAAAAAAAAAAAAAAATTCCAGTCAGCGAAATATTTCAGTGTTATCGTTAAATATTAGTAGAACATTTTTCAAGTCTTTTAGAAAAATTTAGAAACGCGATATTTTCGTTAAAAGTAATAATAAACGAGAGGTATTTTCTGATAATTTGAAAAAAAAAAAGAAAAACTATCCATGTGTTTTTCTTCGTTCAATTTTTAATTCGTATTCGTTGGAAGGATTCTCTCTCTCTCTCTCTCTCTCTCTCGTTTTGTTTTCCATGTTCTATTCCGATCGATCCATTTGTTCGTAATAGACTTCCAATAGCGGGAGCCCAATCGGTTGAATGGAGGTTTCGAGGTTAGGAACCCTGCCGAAGATCAAATTCTATAACTCGTTGCCCGATCCAAACTTCATTTTCCCCCGGTATGGAGAAAGCTGGATTTAGTTATCGTCTTTCCTTACATCGCACAATCCGACGTAGGAAAGGCGATACTCCTCCTCTATCTTTTATTTCCCTCCAAAATTGCCTCGCCTTTTAGGAAAGCAAAATTGAAAAACGCGGCGCTTACGTATCTTCTCGAGCCAAAGTTTTCGATAATAACGAATTATTTAACCTTGTTGGAAATGAATGTAGGGAAAAGAAATTCGAGTAAAAAAAAAAAAAAAAAAAAGAATATCGAGATTTCCAAATACGATCATTCTTTCAAAATTGCCTCGCCCTTTAAACAAAATTGAAAAAACGCGATGCTTATTTTTTCGAAAAAAAAAAAAGTTTACCAACAAGTTTTCAAAAATCATACCATACAAATTATTCAACCGTGGAGATATGCGAGGAAAAGAAAATTCAAAAAAAAAAAAAAAAAATGAAACTTTCGAATACGATTATAATAAAACGCGATATTAAAACGAAAGAAAAAGAAATTCGAGTAATCTCTCGTCTTACGATTCCTACCACGATCCTCGTTACAATTTCTCGCTTATTTCTTCGTTATACGAAGAATTGGTATTATAACGCGGGTTAACCCGATACAATCGATAGACCGTCCCATCGGAAGGAACGCACCTTCGTCCGGCCCGAGTCGAATCAATTATTTTCGCGGAGGGTTTCGGATATCTTTCGGAACGCGCGGAGGGAATTCCTGTAAGAAGCAAGGCCGCGAATCGTGGAAGAAACGCGAGGAGAGGAGGGAAGGGATTGGGGTGAAGAGGTCGCGATAAAAGCGCATGAAAATAAAATGTCCCAGACGATTTTCGCGAAAGTGAAGAACTCTCTCTCCCTCCCTCGAAGTTGGAGAGTAATAAACGGAAACTTTGATATCGCGCGCTCACTCGTTACGCGAATAAACGAGTAACGGCGCAATAGAATCAACATAATCCGATTACCTCTCCGATCGTATCTCCAGATAACGCGATGATACGAGTATCTGGAACGCTCGTACGTAACATCCGCCGCTTTCTTTCTTCTCCACGCCGTAATAGTAATAACGAGAACGCACGAGGGGAATGGAAAATATGGTTGGAACGAACGAGGAAGGATCCTCTTCCCCCCTCCTCGTGGGATAAATCCGGGGGAGACTTTTCCGATCATTCTCGCGCCATTTTCCACGCAACCGTTCGTTAAATATTCGAGAATTCGAGTACCGTTCTTTCCTTTTTCTTCTTTGGAAATTTTAAGAAGCTCAAAGTCGCTCTCGAGATCTTCTTTTTTTTTTTTCCTTTTTAACGCGTTGCTGCATTAAGCATGATCGTGCGCCTCGTCGTAAGCTCGTCGCGCGTTTCTTGAAACTTTCGAACTCGTTTCGAACGAGCAAAAGTGAGACGCGAACGTTGGAATTTCTTCGCGCTTTAACTTTCTATTTTATATATATATATATACATACACACACACACATACATCCTACGAATACTCTCTTTTTCCTACCGCACTCTCGAAACGAAAATTTTACAATCTTCGTGTGAATTCGCGACGCGTTAATTCTTGTTCGAATAAACGAGAGAGCGAAGGAGAGACGCGAGATTGGAAACGATATATCCACCTTATATTTCGAAATCGGTCGGTATATATGTAAATCGGGTCGCGTGGAAGCTTTCGACATCGCTTTGCTCTCTGACTGTGTGATTGTTTTTGTTAGGAGCCCGCCCCCTTTTACGGGAGGGTAAATCCGTAACGGTAGAGGAGATCTTGTCCCATTTCTGGAGGATTGGCCTGGCTTGTGCCTCGAGAAAGCGAGAGAGGGGGGAGGGTAGGGAGGGAAAGAAAGATAAAAACGAACTAGCTATCCCGTTCGACGATCATCACCACTGTTTGCCGTATATTCGTCGCATTACGCGTATTAAAAACGAGAAATTTATTTCGGATCTCGCGATACCATTTCTATCCTCGATAGATTCTAAACGGAGAATCCAACCGCGTTAAAATTGGATCTTATAAAAATAATTGAACTTTCGATCGAACTTACGTACATTCGTCTACTAAATTATATCGAAGCGTTTAATATCATCCATGTATTATCGCCTCCAATTAAAATTGATTCGATCCCGCTTCGAATTCGTCACTTTCGAAAAATACTTACATTTTCGAGAATGAAACCTCCCGCAGAGATATCGCGTATTATCGTGGTTCGTCGAGAAACGATGGAAGATTCGCTCGAGTGGAATAATATTTCGATCGTCGACGCTGGAGGAGTGAGAAAAGCAATCGCGGCAAAACGGATCGCGGAAATCGTCGTCCAAGTTGCGAGGAACAACCACAACAGACGCGTGTTCCACGGCGAAGAACAAGCGAGAGAGCGTGTACGTACGCGTCTGGATTCGCCAACAGTTGTCCCGTTTCCCACCTCGCCACTTTCGGAACAGCGAGCGAGAGAGGGGGAAGGTTATATACACGCGCGCATATACACGTGTATATATATATTTAGGCGCGCGAAGAAGTTTCTTCTTTCTACGATCGTAACTCGTCACCGAATTCGAATTGCTTGCGTTCCAGAACGGCGTTCTTTCGCGCGCTTGAAATGATTTCACGCGCGAATTAACGTACAAAACTTTTATATATTAATATTTTGCGCGTAAAGATAAAGAAAGAAAATTCGTGCGATATTTTAATAATAATGCAATTACCTGGATGGCATCCTCGGTTCGTCAGGGCGAGAATCGAGAAGCAAAGCAGCAACGTGCGTCTATTACTCTTATTTTTCACTTATTATTCTCTTGCTGCATCGTCAATTTCTTAACGAATAGAAATAATTTCGTTATTTAAGTCGGGTTTAAGAAAACGATCTTTTCCCGAGTTAACTCGCGAGACCTGGATACACGCGCCGTCAATGCGACATTCCTCTTCGTGTCATTCCGTGTTTTAAAATTTATACCATAAATTTTCACCA